GAGGAAGGGGGAGGAGGGGGGAAGGAGGAGAGGGGGAGGGGGGAGGGGAAGAGGTGGAGGAGGGGGAGAGGAGGGGGGAGGGGGAGGATGGAGAAGAGGAGTAGGGGAGAGGAGGGGGAGGAGGAGGAAGACGAGGAGGAGGGAGAGAAAGAGGAGGAAGACGACAGTCCACTTTACAGCTCAGAAGGCTGTGGGCACTGGAGAAGCAGAGCAGTAAATGTTATTTCCAAGTGCTTATTCCCTTAGTGCAAGTATCCTAGAATGTTCTAAAATAGGTAAACGGCCTCCCAAGGAGCACCACAGCAAGCCACCCCAGACTGCCTCTTCCAGGCCAGTGGCAGGGTCTGGAGGAGAGCTGGGGCTGGCCAGAGCCCCGAGTGCTGGGAAACCTTCCGAGGGCTGGGACAGCCATAAACAAATCTGCCACCGACTCCCTTGCACAGGGTGCCTGTCTAGGGTGGACACATTTCAGCGTGACGACTTTCCTTTGTTCTGGTCTCCTTTGGGATTAGTTTTTCCCAGCGTGCTCGCAGCAATTGCATTTCAGATGCTGCACGCAGGCCTTTTAAACTAAGAAGTACAAACTAAGTTCTCCTGAAAGACATTTCTCCTGGTTCACAAGTCAGTTCCTTACATATTTAACAGGAAAATCCTTGGGGACAACATGCCAAGTGAAAAAGACTGTCTGATAATAATAGGCACCTCATGGTTCCACACATGTGAGGTACTGGGAGCACTCAGACTCCTGGAGGCATAAGCAGCCAGGGGTGGGGGACAGGAAATGGAGGATTTTATGGTTAAGGGGTGCAGCGTTTCAGTCCCGAAAACAAATGAATTAATTCTAGAAGCACGTGGCACAGCATTGGGACTGTGCTTTCTAATACTGAGCTGTGACTATAAAATTGTTAAAACAGCCTCAACAGTGGTGGCGTAGGCACACCTTTAATCCCAGCACTGGGGCAGGGATGGGGGGAGGCAGAGGCAGGAGGATTTCTGTGAACTTAAGACTGGCCTGGTCTACAGAGTGAGTTCCAGGACAGCCAGGGCTACACAGAAAAAAACCCTGTTTTTGCTGGGGAGGGGGGCGGGTGGGGGTGGTGAGAAAAAAAAGTCATTGAAGACAAAACTCATTCCAAATTTTTTGTTAAAACAGCAAAATGTGTGTTTGTTTTTTAACGATCATTTACAAATACGCCTCTCAATTATTGCTAAGTTATTAAACTTAAGTATATTGTTGCAATTTTGAGAAAGGGAGTATAGGCAAGACTTAAGACTTTGGGGTGGTTGGTGGACCTCCACTCTCTGTATGTCTGTACTGGCCACCTGTGTGGCCCTGATCACTAGGCTGAGTGGCTGCTCTGGGCACAGACACTGTATGCGGCAGGAATCTCAGCTGCACATTCTGGCCCCAAGCCCATAGCTGCTGTACCTGGGCAGTAGGATGCTGGAAACTTTGTGAAGGAAGGATCTGCCCAGGACTTTGGCTAGAACCCACCTGGCACACCACACCTGTCTGAGGTTGGCAAACCCTCCTGGCCTCAGCAAAGTTAAAGAGACCAGTTTGCTGAGTTGGCACTGCCCATTGCTGAACGCTAGCTCCCTGGCTGCCCTGGTAAGTTTGTGGTGCTGGCTCTGGAGGGATAGGAGCCCTAGGTGGTTGATGCTGTTTTGGAATGAACACATACAAAGGCTGGGACTGCCGTGGCTGCTGGGGCTGCCAGGGCTGCCAGGGCTGCCAGGGCTGCCAGGGCTTCTGGGACTGCCTGGGCTGCCGTGGCTGCTGGGGCAGCCAGGGCCGCCAGGGCTGCCAGGGCTGCTGGGGCTGCCAGGGCCGCCAGGGCTGCCAGGGCTGTCGGGGCTGGGGCTGCTGGAGCTGCAGGGGCTGCTGGACCTGCAGGGGCTGCTGGGGCTGCTGCAGCTGCTGGAGCTGCTGGGACCGCTGCAGCTGCTGGAGCTGCTGGGACTGCTGCAGCTGCTGGGGCTGCTGGGACTGCTGCAGGTGCTGCAGCTGCTGGAGCTGCTGGGACTGCTGCAGCTGCTGGGACCGCTGCAGCTGCTGGGACCGCTGCAGCTGCTGGGACTGCTGCAGCTGCTGGGACTGCTGCAGCTCTGGCTGTGCATACAGCCATGACTGTGGCTGTTGGTGTGGTTGCTGTGGCTGCTGTGTTTGTGACTCTGGGCGAAAAATGACAGTGCCAGTTGGAAGCCTGACAGCTATGGGACCTGAAGTACTTTTTAGAATTAATTGCACAGAGCCCTGTGGTGTGCTGGTCTGGGTACTGGGCATCTGACCTATAGGAGACAGAACGTCTCTGGAAGAGGTTTCTGTAAATGCTGGGGCACTAGTAGGGAAGCTCTGCACCTGGGGTGAACCTCTCTTCAAACCAGGGGATCCCTGTGCTATGCTAAACAAATTGGTAACATTTTGGGCAGTGCCACTGCTGGGGCTCTGGGTGACTGGATGGCTTTCTGATGAGCTGGCAGAGGGCTGGACAGCTGCAGCAAGGGTATTGATACTGCTCATTCCCCACAAAGTTTGCTGAGGAAGACTAGCTGATTGGAGAGGAGGAGCAAGTCTTGGAAGCTTCCTACCTCTGACTGCTATTGAGGGAGAATTGGGTGCTGAAGAGCCCTTATCTGAGGTGGAGGGTAGTGTGAACAGGGGAGCTGGGCTCTTCACTCTTGTCTCTAAGACTGGGGATGTCACTGATGGGGAATTGGCCTTCATCCCTTGGGAGGGCTGGCCAAGACAGATGGAGTCAGTGGATCCCTGCAGCTCTTTGCTTAGGCATTCAGCCTGGCTCTGGGCAGACCCTTGGCACACATCCGTTGCCTTCCCAGACTCAATCTTTCCCCCAGCTATAGAACCAAGTAAACAACCACTTAGGGCAACTTGAGGAAGAAACATCTGACTATCACATCTGCCCTCTGTCGGTGACCCTATTTCAGAAGAAAAAAATGGGCCACTAAGGGACTGCATCACACTTGGCTCTGTTTCCCATGGATGACAGCCCTTTTCATAATCAAATAAATAACCACATGTTACCTCAGGATCTGGCCAGGCTGTGGATTCTGAGTCATCGCCATGGGGCACATGCTTCCCTTTAGCGTATTTCTGCACATCCACCTCTGAAGGAGCGACCAGTTCACAGGGTTTCTGCTTCCATGTATCTACACACTTTCCTGCTTCAGGGATCTTCAGATCGTATGGGTCACCTGGTTTGATCTCTGCTCGTTTTCTGCAAGCGATCATTGTTGCAACATCAGGAAGAGATGTACGTGCATGCTTTTCTTCCTCCGGGTCTAGACAGGACCACTCATGACCCATGAAGGATTTTTTCATAGAGTCTATCATTATCTTCTTCTCATTAAACAGCAATTTGTTGGCCGTGCAGGTGACAGCGACAGAAGGATCCAGACATAGTGGCTCTGCTGTAGCTAAGATCAGTTGGCTCTCAAGCTCCAGTTTTTCTTCCTGGGTCCACTGACTGCTGTCACTTGTCATGGACTCGACATCGCTTACTAGAGACTGCATCGTTGGACGTAAGAGAATATGCCGGGCTTGGCAAGCAGGATAGGACACCGCAGCCTCTGCAGCAGGCTCCTCGGGAGGGTAGATGTCACCGCACTCCCTGTAGTCTCGGATTTCTGCTATGACACAGCCACTGTGAAAAACATTCACAGGAGACTTTTCCAGGATATCAATCAGAAAAGAAGGTAACTCTTCAGCATCCAAATATTCAAGCAGTTTCTGTCCTACATACGGCCCCGAATAGGGCTCTGTAAGGACTCCATCTTTATCCTTGAGCATGAGAGAATAGCCCCGGTTTTGTGGGTACAGGCTGACCACTAAACATGGCAATGGCTCTCTCTTCATAAGCTTTTCTAGCAAGTTGACATTGCTTCGAAGGCCCTCTGCTTCTGGCTCCTTTTCACACTCCTCCACATAAATGTCATACAGTTTTTCCTGAAGAGATTTTTCCCCACAAGATGTGGGTCTCAGTGGAGGAGGTTGCTGCTGAGCACTCACAATAATATCATCTGCCCGCTTCCAAGCCTCCTCTAAACTCCGGTCCATCATAACGGCAAGTCAGGAACCTTAAAGAAAAAAAATGCCCTGTCAGCAATCGGAAGTGGCAATTATGAACTGTTGTGGTTTTCCTGTCTGCTTAGGACCCCATTGCCACCCTAATTTAATGTGGACACCAGGAATCCAGACTTCCCAACAAAGCCCATACCATAGGACTCCATGCCACCCTAATTTAATGTAGACACCGAGACTCGGGCCTCCCCGCCACAGCCCATACCATAGGACTCCATGCCACCCTAATTTAATGTGGACACCAGGAATCCAGCCTTCCCAACACAGCCCATGCCATAGGACCCCATTGCCACCCTAATTTAATGTGGACACCAGGAATCTAGCCTTCCCAACACAGCCCATGCCATAGGACTCCATGCCACCCTAATTTAATGTGGACAATAAGAATCCGGCCTCCCCGCCACAGCCCATACCATAGGACTCCATGCCACCCTAATTTAACGTGGACAACGAGAATCCGGCCTCCCCGCCACAGGGCGCGCCATGAGCCCGCGAGCGTTGTATATGCTATGTCCGCACGGCTGAGGTGACAATTCTAGAGGCCTAGGCCGCCCAGTGTTAGTTCATGGCCTATGTCCAGTGGCACCGGGATGCTCCGTACCTCAGGGGATTAAAAAAAAAAAAAAAAAAAAAAAAAACGGCCAACATACGTAGGGACACTAATTTCTCAAGAGTTTCTAAAAATTCGGTACCTATCAGTCCTCCGCGGTAGGCGCGAACGGGTGGCCGCCGCCGCCGCCAAAGATGACGACCAGCGGCCGAGAGGCGCCTCTCAGGCGGAATCCTCGCAGGCCCGAAGTTCGTCACGAAGAGGAGGCGCGCGCACGTCAGGGCACACTTGCTTTCCGGCTGTGTGTCGCTGGGGGCGTCACAGGGGGGTTACACTTCCGCTGCAGAGTGGGAGGCCATGGGGGAGGGGAACCACGTCATCCACGTAACTTCCAAAGCCACGCGCACCACACCGAAGTATAAGCAGAGCCCCCAAACGCAGAGCCCTTCCGTTAGGAGGTCATTAGCCACCGATTTTGATAGGAAGGCAACTGCCGCTGACAGCCATGACCCGTGTCATGTCTCGATAGGACCTTTAAGAGCGGAACAGGCTGAGGCGGCACAGGGCTTGCTGCGGTGGCGCACGCCTTTAGTTACAGCCCGCAGTAGGCAGAGGCAGGCGCACCTCTGTGAGTTCGAAGCTGCATAGAGATGGCCAGGACAACCAAGGCTCCATAGTGATGAGGTCTCACGGTTCTCACAGAGGTGGACACATAACATGGCGTTCCTATTCACAACCATTTATTTGTGTGTGTGTGTATGTGTTTATGCATTTCAGTTTTTCTTTCTTTTGATGAAGGATTTGAAATGGTTTGATTCTTTGACTACCTATAGACTTTTGTTTTCTAATCCTTTTCTAGCCCCATGGTTGCCAGTATTTAAAATTCTCTAATGTTATAACTTACATACAGCAATGACATATACTGACAATAAGACATTCAATGACAAGAATCCCACATAAGTTCCTGAGACTCCTAAATTATAGATGACTTTAAAATAAATGCTTTTTTATTATACAGTGTTTGGTAATTCATACAAAAATCCAACATACCTAGAGCATATCAACTCCCGCTTAACTGGGCACATTATTTTCTACTGGATTAAAAACACTTTTGTTAAGATTTCTTGAAAACTTTTAAAAAGAATTTTTAAAAATAACTGAATTTTTTATGACCAAAGATATACCTTGCTATACATCCCACAGAAGATTAGTGCCTACAATATACCAAAACAAAAACAAAACCTTCCAAAACAAAACATTAAGAAAATAAATAATTCAATTAAAAATGGGCTATAGAACTGAACAGAAAATTCTAAAAAGAAATGCAAATACATATGAAACCTTTTTAAAGTGCCCAATAGCCTTTACCACAAGGGAAATGTAAATTATACTATTTTATTATTGCACTTCACCCCAGTTAGAATGGCCAAGATTAAAGCAAATGACAGGCCAAGCTGGCAAGGAGGCAGAGAAAGGGGAATACGTATTCATTGCTGGTAGGAGTGCAAACTGGTACAGCCACCATGGAAATCGGAAATCAATGTAAAGAGTTCCTCAAGAATCTGAAAATTGCTGAGGGGCATGGTGGTGGAGATCTTTAATCCCAGTATTCAGGAGGCAGAAGTGGGCAGATGTCTGTGAGTCAAGACATCCAGTACTGTGACACAGAGAATCCTTTTCTTTTTCTTTCCTTTTTTTTTTTTTTGGTTTTTCTTTTTTCTTATTTCTTTTTTATTTATTTATTTATTAAAGATTTCTGTCTCTTCCCCCCAGCCGCCTCCCCTTTCCCTCCCCCAATCAAGTCCCCCTCCCTCGTCAGCCCAAACAGCAATCAGGGTTCCCTGCCCTGTGGGAAGTCCAAGGACCACCCTCCTCCATCCAGGTCTAGTAAGGTGAGCATCCAAACTGCCTAGGCTCCCACAAAGCCAATATGTGCAGTAGGATCAAAACCCATTGCCATTGTTCTTGAGTTCTCAGTAGTCCTCATTGTCCGCTATGTTCAGCGAATCTGGTTTTATCCCATGCTTTTTCAGACCCAGGCCAGCTGGCCTTGGTGAGTTCCCGATAGAACATCCCCATTGTCTCACTGTGTGGGTGCATCCCTCTAAAAAAAAAGAAAAAAGGTGAAAATAGACAAAATAGACTTGCCACAGTTTCCAGCTATAGCACTCTGGGCAAATACACAAAGGGCATATCTCTGTATCCTATTACAGAGATACTTGCTTATCCATGTTCATTGCTGGTCTGTTCCCATTTTGTCTAAATAAAAAAAAAAGGTTTTAATTTTAGCATGTAAAACTATCTACAACAAAAATGTTATCAAATAAGAATTACATTTACCATATTTAGTCCATTTGTATTGTTCAAATTCAGAGAAAATACTTCACTACCTAGCTTATCTTAGTGATTCTAAAGTTGTATACCTAATTTACTTTCTATCATAACCAAGGACAACTATAACTCTAATTATTTTGTCCTTAACTCCATCAAAGACCCCAGAAGGAATTAATATTACCTAACAATAGAGAAATCTAGTTGCCTGGACAGTCACCCAAAGTTCCTCTGCAATGTTGGGACATCCATCTTCAGCCTTACAGGTTTAGAATATCTGACAGATTTTACAGTGAAGCAGGAAATTTGAAGGGCTGTCCTACCCTATATTGGCAAAGTTCATCAGTCACTTTCCTCTGTACTCTGTAGAATGTCTGCAGACTCTTCCATAAAGCAGGAACCCTGAAGAATCATCCCACCTTGTTTTGACAAAGTTCAGAAGTCATTTTCCTGTGGATCCTGCATGTCCAGTTTATATTACATACTATCAAGCAGTCAAGGCAAATGCAGTTTCTTACCCAAATGGCTAATCTTGCCACAATGAAAGCAAACTTCTCTGAAGTAAATTGGTACTGCCAGAATCAGATGTGTCTCATCATGAAAAACCTTAGCTTAAAGGCCATCTTTTGTAGGTTGTTGAAGTGTTTAAAAATCATTTATCTGAAAAACAATAAAAAAACTTAAATGTGTGGCCAAACATAATGGTACATGTCAGGAGGCAGAGGCAGGCAGATTTCTGAGTTTGAGGTCAGCCTGTTCTACAGAGTGAGTTCCAGGACAGTCAAGGCTACACAGAGAAACCCTGTATTAAAAAGCTAAAATAAATAAATTAAATTAAATTGAAAATAACTAAAATAAACAAAAGGTCTTTAAGCTTAAAAAAGCCCTGAAATTGCTGTTGCACAAAATACCTCCTATGAATATAATAGACATGGGTGCCTGGACAACAACAAAGGAAAAAGAAAATCACTTATCTGTCTAAAAATATACCTATTTAACCCTGAAAACATATGTAATGTGACTACAAGTTTGATTATTATAGATTAACTACTAACCTTATTTCTTAAATATTGCATTTTAAATGAGCTGCATAAGAACAATAGAGTAGAAGCATATATACAGTGTAACAAAATTAACTTTAAATGTGTACCCATAGGAGTTTGCAATGGTTCGTGGGTGAACATCGGAGGGTGCTGCGTTGGTCCCCGCCAAGAGACTAAAAGATGACAACAGCAGCCAGACCAACTTTTGAACCTGCCAGAGGTGGAAGAGGAAAAGGAGAAGGGGATTTGAGCCAGCTCTCAAAGCAATATTCAAGCAGAGACCTTCCCTCCCATACAAAGATAAAATACAGACAAACTATACAAGATGCTCCTGAAGAGGTTAGCAACCATGACTTTAGGAGAGAATTGGAGGAGAGAGAGAGAGAGCTGCTGCAAGGGAAAAAAATAGGGACCGTCCAACCCGAGAACATACAACTTCCTCTTCCGTGTCCAAGAAGCCCCACTTAGACCAGATCCCCGCTGCCAACCTTGATGCCGATGACCCTCTCACGGATGAGGACAATGAGGATTTTGAAGAGGAGAGCGATGGTGATGATACTGTGGCTCTTCTGGCAGAGCTGGAGAAAATCAAGAAGGAAAGAGCTGAGAAGCAGGCCAGGAAGGAACAAGAACAAAAAGCAGAAGAAGAGAGAATTCGCATGGAAAATATTCTGAGTGGAAACCCTCTCCTTAATCTCACTGGCCCGTCCCAGCCTCAGGCCAACTTCAAGGTTAAAAAAAAGTGGGTCGATGACGTCGTTTTTAAGAACTGTGCAAAAGGAATAGATGATCAGAAGAAAGACAAAAGATTTGTAAACGACACACTGCGATCTGAGTTTCACAAAAAGTTCATGGAGAAATATATTAAGTAGTACAGTTTTATGTGCTTAATTAAAGTCTGAAATGTTAAGGAAAAAAATGTGTACCCATATACCAAAATCCATGCCAATACAAAATATTTGAGATTGATAGCTGCCTTTTATCCCATATTCCTATATTTCCCTAAATGATAACACACATTTATAAGCCACCAAAGAAATAAAAGCCTCCCA